CCCCAAAACCCCAAAACCCCAAAACCCCAAAACCCCAAGATCTGAAATTATAGGTTATTAGGATTTTAGATAGATATATTGTGAATGTAGGATTTATTTAGAGACAATTAATTGAAAATTCATTCGTCATCCTCTTGAGCTCCTCCATACTACCATATTTTGTTTTGAAGTTCTCTCTGCTCTTCTTCAATATCAAACCAGTCATTTATCTCTTCAGGATATTCATCATTTTCTTCATCAAACTTTTGAAGTTGTGCAAGACTCTTCTCAATCAGTTTGCAGTTGATGCTCTTATTCCAGTCTTTTTCTCCCTTGGGGAAGAGAACGATATTTAATCTGTCACCTTATTGTTCAACAACAATAGCTTCAGTCACCTTTTCCATTGCTTGAGATTAGATAAACTTAGCGGCTTCTTCACCAAACTCAGTATCAACTCTAGGTACTTTAATGTAAGCAAGTGAGCATTCTTTAGCTTAAGGCTCAATAGCAAGTAGATCGGCTGGAAGTCTCTTTAAGTCATCTCCATTTACAGTGTCTGAGTTTCCAAAATCAATGAACTCTACCTCATATTGATTTTTACCAACTCCTCTGAGTACCTTAGCCCTATACCAATTTTCATCAAGCTTAAATCTTGCAGCACAGACAGTATTCTTTTTAATTGGTCTCTCTAAATCATCAGCTTGAAGGTAATCGAATTTATTCATTCTACCTTCAATTTTTTCATATTAGTTTTCATTTACGAACTTAACAAAGAATCTTGAAGCATCACTTATATCTGTCATCTCAACGGAGATTCTCTCGTTTTGCTATACTTTCTTAGTTCCAGATGAAGATGAAAGCTATACTGATTTACTCCATATTCCAAGTCCTTCCTTTCTTGCAGTCTCCTGAGCATTTTCAAGCTCTTCAATGTTCTAAGGAGCTTTGTTTCCGAGGACACTTACCTCAGCTAATCCTTCAGAAATCAAAAGCAAGCCAAGATCCTTTTTGTTTGACAAAGTAACTGTTCCAAAGAATGATCCTCTCTTGTCAGCAAAGTCTGGTTCGACAGTAACATCTTTTTAGAACACTAAATCTTTGGCAAAAGCTAGAGCTTCATTTGAGAACTCAAGCATTTGTGGCTGATTTTTATCGTTAATCATGGTCTTTACTCCAAGTAGATTGAACCCTATTGCTGTATTTTCTCCATCAAGTCTAACTTTGAATCTCATGCCTGAGAAGCAATACTCAACGACACCGTTCATTTTTCTATTAGGTCTCTTCATTACCATAGCTTCAAAATCTTTTGCCTTCTTTGGGTTGGCAACTAAATCACTGAATACTCTGATTGGTGCTGGGGCTGACGAGAATATACCTACTTTAGAATCAACTCCTTTCTTTTCAGCTGCTAGCAAGTACTCTAAGAATTTACTTGCATTATCTCCGCTCTTTGAAACATTAGTCTTTAGCAGTCCCTTTTCAAGTAAAATGCAAGCTACATTTTTACTATTTTTTTCAAGGAAAACTGAAGCGAAATCCATATTCCTATCATTGATGGTTTTGCTGAACTCCATAATGACCTTCACTTTCTTTCCAATAGTTGCTCTTCTCATAGCTTCCTTGCTATCCCAGGCATAGGGATCTGGATCTTCACCAGCTTTTTTCATCAAAAGTGGGGCTTTAACAGTGGTTAGAAACACTCTAAATTGCTTGAAATCACTGTCTCTTTCTATGGTTAAAGAATCTCCAGTATGAATCTCAACAACTTTACCAGTGAAATCAGTAGCTGATGGCTTTTATTGAGATTTCTTCTCTTCTTACTTGAAATCTTTCCAAATTCTAACATTCTTAGACTATGCAATTAACTGACCTTCCTTCAATGTCTTGAAGTACTCTGCATCGAAGTCGATATTCTTTGGCATGTTTAGCTTTGAATACCCATTTTTAAGGATTTCAAAAGCGATATCCCCTGCTGGATGGAAAACACGACCAACTAAGGTACCTCCTTCCTCACTTCTCTCAAGCTTAACTCCTACAGTTCTGTGCAACAAAAGCTTTTCAACAAAGACCTTTCCATCAGCTAATAGCTATTTATCTTATTGTGGAGTGAATAAGTGCACCAGTGACAGCTTAATTTGTGTTTGGAATTTATGCACATAAACTGAGAGATAAGACGCATTAAACACGTACTCAACAATACTTTCTAGGGGTTTATCGATGTGTTTTGCTTCTTCCAAAATTTTTGGGGCATTATATCCTGCATCAGTGAAATAAGTAGCCTTCCTTGTATGCTTTTCAAGGTATTTTTCATCTTATGATGCCCATAAATTCAACCTTTTGTTCTTTGCTTCATTTTAAGCATTAACCAATTGTTCATAATTATGGCTGGTAGCCATTGCTCCTTTTTTCTCCACAACTTTGGCTAGCCCTGCTTCTACGATCAAAAGATTATAGTTTTTTCCATCAACAACCAACGTACCATAATCTCTTCCTCCATAGTTATATTCTTATGTGAATTCTGCCTTTCTTCCGATAATCTATTCTCTTAAAAATTCTCTAGCTTCGAATGCAAATGGTTCTTCAACCCTTGTTGAGCTACCTACTTTTGGTGCCTAAACTGATGCCAAGTATACATTGTGTTCACTTGGTCCACTAATCTTAGATGACTTTGAAATGGTGACATAATCACCTGATTGAACTGCCTTAACAAGTCCCTTGAGTACTTTTTCCTTTTTTTCTACCATAAGTTAGAGAAGATATGTATATTTTTAAAATGATATTTTTTCCTAATATACTATTCTTGGCCTACCCACCTCAAGATCACTTTATTTTGCCAATTATTATTTTAGGATCAATTAATCTGTGCGAGAAAAACAGTAAGTTCTATAGAGCTAACAACCTGTACTCCTTGAATGCACAAAATGATGAAATTAAAAGTTAAGTTAAAATTAATCATAAAATAATATCTTCATCAATTTCATTGTCAACAATGATATTTTTGGTTTCGTCATTTGAGACATCAACTTCCCCGTATAAGTGTTATCTTAATTAATCTTATATGTCCTGTCTTTCTTGTTCTTGTTCAGCTGCAAACTCATCCTCTTCGTCTGAATTATCTTGATCCATCATTTCTTCATCCATCTTGTTCATGCCTTCCTCTTCCATCTCTCTGAAAAAGTTAAATTCATTTTTCAATATTTGTCCTGAAACTGCCTTATGTATCTTAGCTCTATGCTCTTTGATGTAATTTCTTAGATAGTATCGTTCATTAAGTTCTTATGGTTACTGGTTTTAAGCTTAAGCTCTTTATTAATCTCTGAATGGTGACTAGCTGTAATCAGAAGAATCCCCGTTTTCCTAATTATCTTTTTCATCTTGATTGTCCATCTTGCTCTCATCTTCAGTCTCAGTGAGCATAGCTGTACTTTCATCTACTACCTATATTTCATCAGTAAATTTAATTCCATAATCGCATCTCTTAATCCAAGGAGCCTCTGGTTTTGGTGGAGGCACATGCTTCATATCAAATTCCTAGGTCAATACACATTCATCAACATTAGGAATCATATTAGGAGGCTTGACAAATGGAAAAGAAAAGGAAGGTCTTGAATAGAAAGTTATTTGGGGATTAATTTGTCCAGGAAGCTATGTCATTATTTGTATTTTTACTTCTGGAAAAAGAGAGCATACTCTGCTCCCAATAGGAAATGGGTTTACCGATATTGATTACTTATTTTGCAGCAATTCAAGGTAGTTTGATTAATCACCCTTCTTATACAAATCAAGATCAAGAGTGCTTTTATTCGCATTCCCAAGCGCTGAATATAATAATCCTCTGATAAGATAGAAATTTTTCATATATTTCTTAGGTGACTCTTAAAGTAGCTAATTAACTTTTTCAAGAGCAGTTTTGTGATTTTTCATAAGAATAAGGCACAGCAAAATGTTGAACTGAGCTTCATGGACGTTAAGCGAGCATAAACCAACATCAGAAAGGTCTGTTTAGTTACTACTCTAACTTTAATTTTCATTTTCTTCGCTACTGCCGTTTTCCTTATCCTTCAGTTCTTTTTTACTCCTAATACTTTACTCAAAGTCATTAATAGCTTTTTGATAGTCACCAGTATAGAAATGCATTACTCCACGGTATAGGTAAAAATCCTCTTGCCCAAATATATTTTCTTTGTAGTAACTAAATGGCTCAATTTAGGAAGCCTGCATCTATAGTTAATGATCAGAGGCGTCTTCGAGTAAAAATCTCTACTTAATTTTCTTAGTTCTTTTCATTGAATTGTTAATCTAAGCATCCTTTGCTCTTTTTCTCCTTAATGCTCTCATTTTCTCAATTTTAATTCTCTTTACGTTTGGAATTATTTACTAATGCATCCTATTAGCGCTTGTTGTTGTTTGGGTGTTATACTCTATATCATAGTGAGTGTTTAATAACTTAGTGAATGAGACGATTCCTTTTTCAAAAGCAGATACATCATAGCTGCTTTTAGCAATAGGACTAGGGAGAGCTTGAGGAGGGGCTTGATTTGACTGCGCTGCTTATATTGCAATTTACAATGCAGAAAGACATTCTCTGTCAACATAAGCTATTTTATCTTGTGGGCTTCTCTCAACTACTAAGTTCAAATCTTTTAAGGCTTAATCCAGATTAGCCAAAGCGATAAAGCATCTAGATCTCTAGTAAAATGCCAAAGCTGATTTCTAAACACTATCTGCATTGGTAAATGCTTTTGTTGCATCATCATATGAACCTGTTGTCATTAAGAGGTTACCTGCATAGATGTGGACCATTGGATTTTTCTAAAATATCATATAAATATATAAGTAAGTACGGGTTCTAGCAATATGAGCTTTTAGAAATCAAGAAAAGCTAACGCTGTATCGCCTAATAAATATGCACACTTGCCTCTGTTGAAATATGCCTATTAATTGATTAATTGCTAAAGTTTCTTACATCTGAAAGTTCTTCATCCATTTCAACAGCTTTTGTAAGGTCATTAATTGCTTCTTAAAACATGCTCAGACATGCATGGCATCTACCTCTGGCCAAATAAAGTTTCGCAGAGGGCTCTTCATCCAAGTCAATAGCAGCGTCTAAATCAATCAGAGCATCGTAGAAGTTATGAACATAGTATAAGATTATTCCTCTTAAGTATAGCAGATTCGAGTCTTTTTAGTTCCTCTGAATTGCCCGATCTATAATTACCTTCGCATCGAGCATTGACTTTTTCTTTCTAATTATAAACATATTAACATATATGATTTTACTTTGGGTTATCAATATCGACCATTTCACTGATGCAACCTTAAATAATACTTATAGCTTAGAATTTATAAGGATCTTTGTTATTTTGGAATTTCTGTTCAGCCTGAAATAGTATCTATTGAACACCATTCAGATCCTTCTTCTCCATTTTCAACAAAGCTTAGGCAATATATCTGTTGTAAACACAGGCTGACTCTAGCTTCTTTATTTTAGATGCTTTATTTAAATCAGAAAGAGCTTTCTATAATATAAGATTATGTTTTTGTATTCTGGGATTACATCTAACTATTTAGTGATAATATACCCATAGGATCTGTAAGTGTAAATTAAATAAATGATCGAGGGCTTCAAAGCTTATTCACTTTCTGACTAGTTTTAGTTGGATGACTTCATAGTTATGGTATCATTAAGTTGAGATTTATTGTTATTATTGCTCATTTGAATTGGCGAGCTACTGTTCATTCCTTCTTTAGCATCAAATGTAATCTAACCCTCAACTAATGATGACAGCAGCTTTATGCCTTTCTTGACTTTTCTTTTCATTATGAACAGAACCTAAGAATTATAAATAAATATTAAGCTGCTTACTCCCTCAACGAACATCTTGTATTGTAGAAACTTAATTGATTTAAAATCATGATGCACTGCTCTTTAGAGGTTATGAAATGCCTCATAAAAATCCTTTTACTTTATTCTTATTTTACTAATCTCAAACAGAGAGTTGCCAGAAAGCTAATCATCGCCTAAGCTACAATTCTTTATAGCCTATTCAAAGTGAAGGACACCTTCATTTTCTTGGCCTTTGTTTTTCAGAATCTTCCCTTTATAAAAATGTGCTCTTGCATTCTTATCATCTTATTCCAAAAGCATATTGAAATCCTGTAATGATTGATCATAATTTTTAAGCTAGTAAAGCAGGATTCCTCTCTTGGTTAAACCCTAATCTCGACAATTCATATCAATCGCTATTGCTTAGTTATAGGATTACAGAGCTGCCTTGAAGTTTCCTAAACCCTTCAAACTATCTGCTTGACCAATATAACCTGAACCAGATTATTATTATAATTTAATCACTGCTTAGAAATCTATAAGAGCTTTTTCATATTACTTATTGTAAATATATATCTATCCTCTCGCTTAATATGCTTCAACATACTTTGGAAATTTCTGAATTCCTTTAGTTAACTATAATTTTAAGATTAATTATTCTTACAGCTTTAAGGGCATTTTACAAATCGTTGTCTCTTCTATGAGCAATCGAAAGTACTATATAGACTGTTTTATTGTAGTTATGATCCATATTTACAATCTCTGTAAGATCAGCAATGCATTTTTTGGGGTTATCTGTATCAAGGTAGCATATTGCTCTGTAGTACTTCGAATCTTTATTTCCCGGGTATAGTTTAAGACTTCCAGTAAACTATTTGATCGCTTCTTTGTAGTCTTTCTCCATCAATTTTTATTTTCCCTCTTCAAATTACTTCTAGCTGCTGTTAATCAACTCTTGCTGCTTCAAAAACATGACTGTATCAGTTGAGGCTTTATCATTTTCTAATTACTAATTTAAGCTTTGCAAATAGTCAGGGTAGAATCTCCCTTGAATTCTTCTGGATGAACCACCTCCACCACCCATTCCTATTGTAGAATGACTTAGATTTTGAAATGTTTAGTACTTCTGGGTGATTCTTTTCTTGCTTGAATCATTCAAACTGCTAGTGTTAAAATCTGAGTCATGGTATGCATCATTTTATTAAATAAGGAGATTTTAATTCAATACATGCTTAGTGTTATTGGAACTGCCAATATTAAATGTATTTCTTAATTCCTCTAAAGGTTTTATAGTCTTAGAGTTAGTACCTTAATTAACAGCATTGTTGTATCTATCTCTCAGATTTTTAAGAGATATTTTTTTGCCTTAGGAGGATTTTCTAAGAGATTAGTCATTAAAGTTTAAAGTATAGAGCTAATACTTGTCCAAAGCATTTGATTGATTGAAATTCCTTTTAGATTTGAATCTCAAATTTTCAGATGAGCCCGTAGTATTTTGAATACTGTCATAAATATTGATTGCTGATAAGATACTGTTATTTAGATTCCCACCTGAAGATTTCCTTGCATAATCTGTAACCAATGGGTTCATCTGATAAGAGTTTGATAACTTGCTGTTACTTTGGGAATTTAAAGGCTAATTTTAAGCTTGTAATATATTTCTATTATTTAAATCTAATGGAATTTTCCTCTCTACACTTTTAACATACTTTCTGTTAGCATTAGCACTGCTTCCATACATCTTCATTAATACTTAAGTCTATCTTTAAAAGCTTTTCAGCTAGTGTTATTAAGCTTAAGATGTCAGTTCTTTTCTGGTTCTAGTGACAGGGATACTTTAATACTATTAAAGATGTTCCTAGTGATTTTTCAAAGCTGCAGGGATCATTAAACCCTTTGACCCAATAATATTTATTTTCTTATGAGAGGGTTTTTAACCCATTTGTTAGATATTTGCTTATGAGATGTCTATTTGGGTAGGGGGTTAACCAATCATGAAATTATAGTCTTAATTTACTAGAGATACTTTATCACTACTCTTCTTGATACTTCCTTCCTGAGAATGCAGATTCAGATTAAATCTTCTATCTTGTGAATTCTCTAAGCTATTTTAACGATATTATTAGACAATTGTGTCAAATTTAGGTTTAGTCTATAGTCCTTAGAATGACATCTCATTAGCTTTATATCCAGTTGGAGGTGGTTATTAATTTAGCTGCATAGTATTAATGCTGTTTGAATTATTCTAGGCGTTGCTATTTGCTAAGAAACTGTCTACTTGTGCTTCTATTGTTCTTATTATTTGAGTGTTTTAGTATTTGCTAGAGTAATTAGTTGCTGGAAACTAAAGCTTTTTGGTAAGCTTTAGATTCTAATTAATTCTCGCTGATCGCTTCTAAGGTTATGAAGACATTATTTATTTAAAATATTAATAATTTTAAAATCCTAATAACATAAATAAAAATGCAGAGCTACGAACACCACATTGTACATGAATCTCTTTTCAAAAGACATCCTTATCTTCAAGGCCCATTCAGTTCTGATATTGATCCTAATTAGATAACTGTTGCAATATTTGACAGAACAATTCCTAAATTTAGAGAAGTATTGAGTCAACCTGATTTCGATTTCGATAAATGCAGAGATGCTTTGAAAACTCTTAACGAACTAGTTCATCATCAAGAAACAATGGACAAGATGATTGATCATGAACTCCTAGAAATCTCAAGCAACCTACTAGGTAGTGCATCTTAAGAAGTAAGAGAATAGGCAGCTATTTTACTATCCTCTTTCGCTATTTCAAAGAGAGCCAGAGAATTGTTCAATTATGCATTTCCAAGGTTGTAACAGCTCCTCGAAGATAAGGTTCTTGAAGTGAGAGAAGCTGTAGCCTCAGTTTTTCATAAATTAAGCATCAATGATGACGGATGCTAAAGAATAGTTGATTCTAACTGTGTGCAATATATGATTTTATCATTTATTGGCCACTCTAAAGATGGGAAAACTCTCAAGAAAGAAGATGGCCAATATCTAATTCATCTTTTAGAAGCTTTTGCTAATCTCACTTTCAGTGACAAGGGAATTCAACCACTACTTGGGACAGGTGCAGTTTTGAATTTCAACAAGATTATCAGTGAGTCATATGTAAATGATATACTTGAAGAGCAACATAAATAGAAAATCAAAGAGTTATGTCTTAGAGTTCTTGGAAATATAAGTATCAACCATGATGGAAAATAAGAGTGTATTGATGATAGAGTAATCTTAAGTGCTTGGAAGTATCTTGGCTCTGATTCTTATGAGAAAAGATTAAGTGCCTCACTAGTTTTAATGAGTTGTACTATCCATTTGAATGGAAAACAACAAGCTGTATGGTTTGAAGAAGCCAAGGGAGAGCCTAAGATTATTTAGGAGATTATTAGAAATTATCCAGACTTGAAAAAGAATCTGAAAAGAACTTTGATTAATATAGCAGAACTCCCAGAGGGTTTCTTAAAAATCACCCACGAACTTAGTGATAAGGCAGACTTATTAGATGAAATATTTGGTCCCTCAGCTGTAAAACCTCTTCATAATCTCTTGCCCAAATTGTCTGACTATGTGGATCCACTTAAGATTGAAAATAAAGATATAGGGCAGAAGTATATGAGATATGTGAAAAGTTTAGCATTTATTATTAAGAAATACAAAGACGATGCTGCTCAAGTTGCAAGAGATGACACTATTAATTTTTCTGAAAAATTAGCTCCATTCTTAAATCCAGAGACTTAACTTTAGAAGGAAACTGTACTATGTTTGACTGAAGTCTGCAGAATAGATCCATACAATCGTCATGTACTTAATAACTTTTTAAAGAAATACGGAGAACTTCCAATTAAGAGATCAAACGGCTAAGTGACTACAATTAAAAGGGAAATATCATAATACACAGATTTGCTTAACTTTGCTCAAGACTCTCAAATATTCACATGATTAGTTTTTAATTTATCATTTAATTCTTAAGTATTCGATTTCACGGGGTTTTGGGGTTTTGGGGTTTTGGGG